CATCGTCGTTATCCTTATCATGCTCGATTCCTGAGGATGAATCACCAATGGTTCCTTGGTGTCAGGCTCTTTTCCGAGGACGGTGCAAGTCGAATGCACTGCAGAATCCCTGGAATGAAAATGGGACAAGCAGAAACTCTGAAGGACACGCGTCCAAGAAATCACTCCCATCGGCTTCCGTCATCGTCACCGCTGCTGCCGCAGAGAACGTGCAGCACTGTATGCCTGTTCCGTGCAGCACTGTATGCCTGTTCCGTGCAGCACTGTATGCCTGTTCCGTGCCTGCACCACCGCGCCTCCTTCCCTCGCGTCCTATTCCTGGCACTCGTACGCTCAAGTTCCGTGCCTGAGTCCCATTAACGCACACAAGTATAGGTCACGATGCCCGACGCGGGGTTCCGACACCACGCCCAGGTGCGCGGGAACGCGAGGATCCGTTCTTGGCCCCTTGGCAGCACACCGGTGGGCGACGGATGCCCATATGCGTGCGCCCGCGTTTCCAAACAGCTGCGGCGAGTTCGCCCGCGGGAGGGCGGTCTCGACTGGCTGGCCTGCTGGGCTAAGCTCTTCGGTGCCTGGAAGAAAAGCTCGCGCCCGTTTTTTTTTTTCTCTGTTGTTCGGATTCCGCAGCACGTCGGTCTCGGGGGGGAAAACCGAACGCGGGCCTCGGCACCTCTCTGATCGCGCTCGCGGGTGCGGAAAATTCAGTCGTTGAGAACGGCAGGGGAGGATTTGGGACCGAGGTCGCAGTCGCGCGTCTGTCCGTTTCCTACGTTCGGTTCGTTCCAGAAGATCGCATCTCGTACGAACGTAGTACGGCAAGGTTAAAGCGAATAACACAACGCGAGCGTATCGATATGAGCAGGTGCGCCGTTTCGTCGGTGGGAAGAATGAAATACCAAGCGCAAAGTCGGCGTCTCCGGTGGGCGAGGGACGCTGACGGCTGTAAGCTGGATAAACCGCAGTCGACGATCGACCGGCGTACTCGCAAGCCCCTTGATGTCTCGGCCACTCCGGACCAAAGCGTGTGCATGCCACCTCCCCATGATAAGTCGTGTTCCATCGCTCGCGCACCGATGGAGGGGGACGACGCTGAGAGGATGGGTAAAGGTACCGAGAACGTCGAGGGGTTTCCTGACCATACGGTTCTGGTCCCGATATAGACGAGGCATGGGCATTTGGTTCGTCCCGTATCAGAGAGGACGGCGGGTGTGTTGATCCGCCGTAAACCTGGCAGTGAGAGCGGAGTACTATGAATGACGCGGGGATCCGTGCAGGGGTCAGCGCGCCGATGCGGATCGTTTTTGTCCGAGGTCTGAGTGATCTGCAAGGAGTGCGACTCCGTAAGGGCCCGGCGGAGGCCCGGAGAACGTACGCCGGACCAAAGTTGAGCCTTCGCCTCGCTATGGCCGAGTTCAGATAGAGCCTTCGGGCCTCAACATCCTCCGTGGACGGACTTCGTACAGATGCACAACAATCGTGGAGGAACGTGTCGCCGCAGTAGCATAAGAACGGCCACCGGCACCCTTCATATTGACTGACCCTGTGTGAGATGGAATAATAAGGGACAGACAGGCGTGTAAGAAGGCATACCTCGGATTTGTTTAGTCAATCGTCTTGAAACATGGTGATAATCTCTTCGTGCATGGATTCGACATCGGCCAAGTACTGCTCCAGGTCTTTCAGCACGTTTTCGTCGCTGGGTCCTGCGTGCACTCCCAAAGCCTTTTGGCAGTCTTGATACAACTCGGGGATGGCATACGCTTCCGACGGCTCGATGCTTCACAACATGTGCTTCAGCAATGCTTTGGCACGCATAGATGCGAAACATGGAGCCTCACCCCAGTTCGTTGAACCTGTCCGCGTTCTTTTCCTCCCACTGGCCGACGCTCCCGATGAACCTCCTGCATTTGGTTCGATACCGCAAGAACTTCTCGAGCTCGACCTCCGAGATACCGTCGTGCCAGCTGGCCCGCTTGCTCTTCCAGTTCGCCGCGTTGTCCGGGTCAGGAAAGTAAGCATCCATGGTTTGTTTGATCGAGACCCATTGTGCGGATGTCCACAAGTTCCGTATATGCTGCACGGAGTAAGACGGTGCGTTTATCAGGTTGATGTGTCAGAAGCCGCATGCTGACTCTCACCAAAAAGCAGAGCTGGCATGTTATCGTCACGTAAGAGTGCCGGATTTTAAGCGCATCTTTCTCTGACGCGATCCGGTTCAGTCGTTCGGAGTCGTCGTCTCCGAGCAGTCTGACGTGAGCGTCCTTCTGAGCGTGTTCATTGTTAAGAGAGAGCGCATAGAGAGTCTCTTGCACTGTACTCTGCCGAACTCGTTCGACGCACGCCAGAAGCTCCAGGGCGTCCGGAATTTGGGCGTGGATGAACGTGGGATGTATGATGTTCTTGATGGCATATGTGAGCACGGACAGCGGAACGCGTAATTTGCTACGCTTCATCTTTGCGGACAACTCTATCATGTTTTTATCTTCAGGTGATGGTCAGCGAAGAAGACGTCGGTGGCTCACTGACCATAGATTTCCTTGTGCAACTCGAACGAGCCGAAGTCTCTTGCAACCTTTTGGGTGAGTTTCTCAAGTTTTATGGTATTTTCCATGTTACTATGGAAATTTATGAGCTTCGGAGAGGCTGCGGCAAGATATAGCGGGACCAGGACGACCAGTGGTGTCACTGACCCGGGTTATTACTGATCGGGTCACAAGCGGGTCATTTGGGATTGAAATGACTCGAAATGACCCGGGGTCAGAGGGGTCAGAACGAGTCATTTGTACATACACTATCTATGGTAGTACAAGTCTATTCAGAGCTCAAATCTATGGTGTTCGACGAGTCCTGAGTGCTCTGGATGGTTGTGACCTGTGCCGATGGCCCAGAAGTGGGTGCTGAACCATCCTCCATCGCGTTCTCGCAGTTTTCGCGGGTCAGGAGCTCATAAAAGAGCAATTCTTCGCGATAGTTCTTGACGCCGTCGGCCCAGAATGTGTCCCAACCTGATTGAACTGTGAAGTCGAAGATTTCGGGGAGGGTAAAGAGCCGCTTCTGACCGAAGTAGAGTCTGACCTGCGGGTCAATGTGGTGAGAGGACAATCACAGGTAGACCTAGGATCACTCACCTTGCGAGTGACAGGAACCCCGTGTACGTTCGTTACAGATATCTTGGCAGTATCCTCCGAATCTGACTGCAAGGCATCCGAGTCGCTGCTGTCGAGTTCGGCTTCCGCTTGGAGTCGTTGTGCAAGGCGGGAGAAAGAGAGAGAGCTTGCGGGATTGCGGGAACGAAACTGCTCTGGAGCAGGACGCGAAGAGGCCCCCGGGTCAGGTTGTCCATCGTTTGAAAGGTCTGGCGCAGAGAATGTGTCCGTCGAGGAGGAATCTGATTGTGAGTCGCCGAGATGCTCGTCATCGCTGGCGCTATCTGAGGCTGATTCCGTGTCAGCATCGCCGCCAGTGTCCTCCACCTGTCGCAAGATCTCAATCTCCTCGGTCCTACTGGCACTCTCGTCAAGGTCAATGGCATTCTCCGTGTTGCCAAACTGGCGCTTGAGACGCTTCCGTGCAGAGCCTTCCTTGGCGTGCTCACGTCGGATCTCAAATTTGAGGTATACGGTGTCGCGAGTCTTCTTGGTGCCGAGACGGGTTCGTTTCTTCGTCTTTATGTCGTTCCACGTAGAAAACAGACGTTCGTTCGATGCTGAGTTTGGAACAAAGTTGAGAAGAAGGATTGCGAGCTTGGCGAGTATGTTCGTAGTTCCGAGAGTCTCCCATGCTTTGACAGGATCAGTTGAACCATCCTTCGCACAAATGTGAGTACGGATCAGGAACGATGTGCCAGAACATCGTACGTACCTGTGTTCTACATACATCCTTCATAATGTCGACAGGCCAGTTGTCCTCTGAGAATTCTCCCTGCCGGTTACTATAGCGTAGCACCATGCCAAGCAGCGTCGACGGGACCTCATCGGCACCAAGGCGAAAGACACGTTGATACATTCGCTTGATGATTCCCATGATGACGGCGGGGGTGATTTTGAAAATGGATCGGTTGATGAACGGGTTAAGGAACAGCGTGGCAAGGAAGACATCCTGGCCGGCTTTGAGCCAACGTTTCTCGATGCTCCGGATGATGGCAGTGACAGGGTGCCCTGCCATTTCCTCGGAGTCACCAGGATTCTTGCACTCACGTCGGCGAAGGTCGATATATGTTTTGTAAAGCTTCCCGAGCATGAGGAGAACTTGACCGCATCGCGTATTAGCTCCTTGAGCTACGTTGACAGCGATTGCGAGAGGTTCGATGTGGAGTTTGATGCTGGAACCATGTTAACGGCAATCAGACATATGTCAGGTTGTCAGTGTAGACAAGAATCATACCGAACGAATTTTGCCATCAACACCGTGCTACGGGACCTTTGAAGTACCTTCCTCGCCTTCTCCTTATTCTTCTTGTTGCTGCCGACAGACTGGATGATTGCTTGCTCGTGACGGGAGACTGTGATATCGAGTGCCTTCCGAACATCAAGGAGGCGGTCTAGAGTGCCGTAATAGGCTGTCCACCGCGAGACAATGGGAAGGACAAGGGCGAGAGCGCGCGTGCCCTGCTCAAGCATGAAGAGACCGTACGCGTACGAGTGGTTGTTCCACCACTGTGCAATGTCCACGGCTTCCTTCAGCAGCCATTCAACATCTTTATTGCCCTTAATGTAATCAGCAAGCATGAGAGCAACCTATACATAGTATGTGAGCAACATGACAAGCGACACAAAGCTACATGTATTGTGGCATGCGACACATACCTGATGTGCCCAGCAGTCTGCAAATAGCATCCACGGACTCTCCTTTGCAGCTAAAGCGCGAGCCTTACGTTCATCACCACCCGCATCGCCAGTAATCCCAATCACCGCAAGCTTCAGAACATCCCGGCAGTGCTCGATCTCCTTCTCCATCAGCTTATACAAATTTTCTCCGGTCTTGCGCTCGGCAGAGAGATCATAGATGCTGCCGACCCGTACCTGAGAGTACCCGTAGCTCGGTCAGTAGATGACAGATATGGCTATTCATTCGCCTCACCTCACGGTTGACTGTGTGTGTGAACGCAAGAATATGCTTCTTTGATCTGTCCTTCAATCCGTCACATTGAATTGTCGCATACACAGGGGTGCTCGACCTGCTATTCTTCATAATCCATGACTGCTGAGACTTTCCAACCTCCCGTTCAAGTAGAGACCCGGATAGTCGCTGCCTAGAGGGGAGTTGTGCACCGGGTACATAATTATGGAAGAGTGCCTGGACCTCCGGATCTCCGATCGAAGACCAGGGCCAGCCCGCGGAGACAAACGCGCGAAGAAGCTGCCTGTCGAATGCTTCTTGATGTCCTGCATTGAACCGATGTGCCTTCGCTGCGATCACTTGGAACTTTTGTTGCTTGGCTGGACGACGCTCGGTGACAGACCGATTTCCGATGGTGTCGGATCGGACACGCTTGCTGCTTTGGGAACTGACTGTCTCCACCTCTACATCGGAGTCTGATCTTTCCTGCCGTTGGTTCTTCATCGACTGAAACTTGGACTTCACATCATCAGGGCAATAATTGCAGTGTCGAAGGAGGTGATTGATCATTGTGTCCACTTTCCCTGCTGTCACCGTGGATGCATTTTGGGCTGTAGAGACTTCACACATTGTTCAAGGTTGACAAGGCTGAACTTTCACACCTTCTACAAGCAGTATGTCTTTGCCTCTTGCAGCTTGGAGACGACCCTCTTTAACAGCTTGCTCCTCATCCGCGGTCAATTGTCGTAGGACTGCATCTACACAGAATTTGCAGATTGCCCCGAAGTGTGTACTATCTATTGGACAGCGCTAGTGCACGTAGTGGCACGCGGCTGGGACTGACCTGGTGAGCTTGTAGAGCTTACTGGTGGGGACTGCTAGTAGGAAAACGAGTTGTCATTAGGGGCGGACAGGCCTGCTCTTATATACTACAAAGGAGTGGCTATGCAGGGCTGTACGCTATCATACCAGTGCAGATGGCTATGAAGCCAATGATGTGGAAGGCTGTGAGAACAGCCATGCTGTGTCGCATGTGACCAAGGCTGTGTAGAGCCTAGTTCAACACTATCAACTTTATTCTTGCTTTTTATGAAGCACTCCCATACGGGATTCTTTGGACGCGGCATAGATATGATTTTGTGAGAGACGGAGCAGGTCTACGTTGTCAAATTTACGCCCAAGCAAGCAGATGTCTCACGCATTTCGGAGTTTAAACTGTTATGACCCGTCACTGACCCGGGGGTGTTCCCGCAATCCCAAATAACTAACTGACTAACCCGTTATAACCGGGTCAGGTCATTTCGTATATGACCGGTCAGTAACAACACTGAGGACGACGAATCGATACCGTCGACGTGTAACCGACGCGTCCCAACGGTCGACGCGCTCTGCAGAAAGCCGGTCACATGATCGTGTGCATGGGACACCGGGTGGAGTCGATTCCGACTTCCCGACGCCAGCGTCGTCTGCAGACTGCACAATGGCCGACGGAATGTCATACGGTTGATCCCGTCCACCGCAGTTGACTACTGTTCGGTCCAATCACCTCTCATTTCTCGTCATCGTCAACGAGAGCAAAGAAAGGGGATCATATACCAACTTCATATTGTGCCCGATCGAGCTTCAATTGGTCCCCAGGATCGCCTCGCTAATTAGACTACATTGACACAAATTGACATATTCTCTGACACAGGACGCATCCGCCATCACCGTTCGGGCCGCCGATTGAAAGACCCTCAAAAGCAATGCCCCGTTGTCGAGATGCTGGATCCGGGCGCTTTCCCCGCTGAGCTGAAGGGCTGACCATGGATCCAAACCCGAACTACAACTACGTGAGCTTTGCCGACAAGCTCAGGTTCCTCGCAGCCGAGATCGCGTGGCCTTTCATCGCTCTCGCAATTTGTATACGTAGGAAAGGGAAGGGGAGGATCACGCTGAAGGAGGAGCTATACGATGCCAGATTCCGACGGTGAGCGGTGATATATCATCCGTCAACGCGCGCTGAACTGATATTTTTCGGCGCTTTCGAGACCTATCCACGTTCCATCTTCCGCGTCGCCTTTGCGGGCGACAAGATCGCAAAGCGAGCCCTGAACTCGCACCGGTTTGCCTCCGTCCAGAGCAACCTGTACGAACACGTCCTCAGGCCGGACTTCGCGGGCTACTGGATGCTACGGCACTGCTTTACCGACCCGCAGCCTCCCTCCTCATCAGATATCGTCCTATGCTACATCCACGGAGGCGGCTACCAAGTCTGGCAGCCAGGGACGTACAGCACATTCCTCCTCGCTCTCGTCGAAGCCATCACGAAACGCTCAGCGTCAGCGTCTTCGCGCTCGACTACTCCCTCGTCCCCGAAGCCATCTTTCCGATGCAGATCGGGCAGATGGCTGCCATGTACAGGTACATGCAAGAGGAGATGGGCGTCCACTACAACAAGGTCGCGATCGCAGGCGACTCAGCAGGTGCACATCTCAGCCTCGGCTTCCTTACGCACCTGCGCCGTCCAACACCATTGCTCTCCCCAAACCCCTCCGCGGGGCTGCCCAAGCCGGGGAAGGGTCTCTTCCTGATCAGCCCGATCTGCTCGCCGGACACGTCAGCGCAACGTACCACCCGAACGACGGGCTCGACATGCTGTCCAAGACGATCGTCGACCAGTACGTCGCCGAAATCTTCGGCGCGTCCGAACACGCGGGAAAGGAGCTCGGGCTGCCATATCACGAGTTCGCGCGCCCTGTGCCGGGCTGGAAGCGCGACTGGGCGGAGGTGCTGCCTACGCGGGTGTGGATAGGCGCCGGCGCCAACGAGGTGTCGGCGGGCGATATCGAAGACATGGCGGAGGCAATGCGCGTCGCGTCCGTCGAGGTTGAATTGGCGCTCGCGAAGGGTAAGGCGCACGTGTGGCAGTTCGTCGACTGCCTCGCGGCGGAGGGAGTGTACCTGAAGGCATCCATTGGACAAGCTCTGCCGCCAGCGATGGTAGGCGTGGAGGAGCTGGCGAATGCTATTGCTGGCGGTCCACAGTCTGATTGACTGACGTTCGAAGGAGTGGCTCCCAAGGACTACAGTTGAATTGGGTAGGCCGGTGCCGAACGTGAATGACTATCACTCTTCTCCAAAAGCTGTCTATGGTTCTTGGGCATGGAAGACCGGAGCAACCGAGCGGGCATTTGCCGCTGTCCCGATACCGTCCCAATCCTCTTTAGGAGGCTCATCCCGTACTACACCGTGACCCCTAATCATCTTCTTTTTCTTACCGCACAACAGACACATAATGCTTTCCTGTCTGCCCGATACGTGTGGACCCCATGCCCATGTCGTTGAGGGCCCTGCTGCTCCTATGTGTGAAGCTATGCATCCACTTCCACCAGTTGCAGCGACGCATAGCTTCACTGTGTCACTTGGCTGGTGACGCCAGAATAACTCACCAGCAAAAATGCCTCCGGTTTGCTTCCGTTACCGATGTTAGATTATCCCGATTCGGAAAACATCCGGCGTTGGAGTCAAGCACCGCATTCCCTAACACCCTCCCGTCTTGCTCCCTCTTGCTCCCGTCCCAAGCTTGTCCCAAGCAATCCCAATTCTTCTCAAGCCAAGCGTCCAAGATCAACAGATCAGATCAAACACCAGAGAATCGCGGTTATCCAGCATCGCCACACCATCATCGCCAACGCCCACACCCGGATCCGCACGTGGTTCTGGTGGTGGGCGCGTTCTCTGCGACGCGTATCTGTGGCATCTCGCTTCGTCCTGCGCTCGAGATCAAGCTCGAGATACAATCTTCCGGCGTTGCGTGGTTTTCTTTTTCAGATACGTATGTACAGAATTCGTGCAATCTGGTGTGAGCTGCATACATACTTACGTGACCTCTTAAGGATCTCTGTAGGCAGGTAATATATTGCTGCTATGGGGGCGCGCGATCCTGCGTTCACGAGGTTATCGCGAAAACGCTGATGGATCAGATCGCAAATCCGTTTTCTCTGTGTGTGATCTCAGAGCTTTGAATGCAAACGACGTTTACGCCTGAATCTGTGGCGAGGATTCATGCCACGCGGCGTGTGCAAAAGCAGATATCCTGGATCAGCCAGAGTATGATGCGCTCTCAACTCTCAGCATTTCTCGGGGATGGCGCTCGCGATCCGTGCCGGGAGCAACGACGCAATCGCGTGCCATCAGCATCGACAGATGTGTGCACAGAGAGCGACGAGGGTGTCTTCCATTCATCTCGCCATCCACGGATTCAGGGCGACTGCGATATTTCGCGGAGGAAGGAAAGAAGACCTATAAGAGAAAACGCAAGGTCACGGCCCCTTACTCAAAGAGCACGCTTCCATCAGGGAGCATTCATCATCGCGCTGAGATGGGAAGAACTCGGGAACCGCTGAATTGACAACGCTAACTGCGGTCTGTGCATGTGCAGATTGCGTTTTCAGTGTACTACTTCCTGGGGCGCTCGTCGGAGCTGGGTCGGAACAATACCTCACAATTGTCCCAAATGAAACAATATGACCCAAAGCGGCAAGATATTGAACATGTGGCATATAGAGGCTTGCGAAAGGAACAGAGGGCATGATGAGGCACTTTAAACTCGGACCGAGATCAAATGTAATTATGCGTGGATGACGACAATCAGACCGGGCAGGACCGCGGGTTCGTCAAGAAAGTACAGCTGAGATATCGCGTTGGTCGGTGGCGGCGGCAGCTCTGAATCACACACGCCGCGCCGAATCTATCACCCTTGTCTCCATGCCGAAGTTCCAACAGGAGTCCGACCCACCCCCTGGTTTAGATATCGCAGTCGCTGTCGGGCCCGGGCGAAGCTGATCCTGACCGCGAGCACCAATCCGCAGCCCGGAGCTATCGGGATGAAAAAGGCAAAGAAGCCTGCAGGGCCCGAACGCGAGCTCGCTGCGGGCTGTGCTACGCACGCAGATGAGCGCGGTCAGATGTACGGGATCAGAAGGAGGAAGAAAGGGGAGGCTGCGGCAACGTTTATCGTCTGCGTTATTCTTGCCAGCGTCCGATTGACCGCCTTGTTGGTCGACCGAGTTGTGGTTGGATGAGCGCGGTGGGTCACAGGGATCAGAAGGAGGGGGAAGTCAAGGCTGCGGCCCCGTTTTATTCTCGCTGTCGTCGTTGCTGCAGCTTCCTCGGAGGCGCGTGCTGCTGCGAGTGTCGACCCACCGCGGCACCGGCCTTCCAGGAAGCCGAGAGGTTCAGAGAGAAGGACGTGGCGCGGCATACATCAGAATCGAAGCGGATCCGAGTCGGGAGGCGAGGTGGATGACAGAGGAACACGGCTTGGACGGCCGATTCGTTAACGCGAGCGCGAGCTGGTGCACAGACATGGCATAAGTAGGTGCGCAGAGACTTTGATATGCGCAGACGACTTGGCGCACCGATTCTGTCGTCATTCCGCTCGGCGCGGATGCGCGAACCCGCGAATTCAGGGAGGCGATATAGGCCGTTTCGTTCTGGATCCCTTGCGCGCAAAGAAAAGAGAGAGAGAAAACCCCCGAAAATGACGAGACCATGTGCGTGCGCGATAGCCTTTGACTTTCCATCCGGAACGCGCGGACGACCGAAGGGACGCGCGCGCGCATACTGACGACCGGCGGCGGACCGGGATCCTCTAGACCGCCACGCGCACGAGTTATCGATCTTTGCGAGAAGATATCGTCGACGACATCCTAACGAGAGCTCTCGAAGCGAAGGGCGCAGCCTCGAGGGCGCAGCTGTTTCAGGCGGACGGGTGGGGGGGCAGGGGCGGCGGCGGGTGTTTCATCGGCAGGGTTACGGGCCACGCGCCTGATCGTTGCCTTTTTGGGAACAAAGGGACCAAAGGAAGGTTTGTTGGCATCCCGCGGACTGACGGAAGCTTCGTGCAACGTGGACGGCTTCGCTCTTCGGGATCAGGAAGCGTTAAGCCGAGCTCCCGCTGGTTAGGACGCCGATGCCGGTGGTAACGGGATAGTGGCGCGCGACGAGGGCGCGAGCCTCTGAGCGGGGATTTTTTGTTGGTGCGCCACAAGAGTATGTGGAGTAAGTATACTGTGCGGAGTACGGAGGAGAAGAGCCGTGAACGGAAAGAGGTGGTGTTTGCGTTTGTAGACCGATGCCGTTTCCGACTACGTATGGCGGTGGAGAGAGCTTCCAGTCGCGGGCGGAAGCGTCGATGATCATTGTTTGGCGTGAGATGCCAAGTTCGTGAATTTTGGTCCTTGTATGCCGGGCAAAGGGCGGGGTGGGGGGCGGGCGTGCTTTTTTCTTCTGGGCGCCTAACAGAGGGCCCGAAGGTGACAAGCATGTGGTGTTCGGACGCTCGCGACGAAAAGCGCTAGCGCCTGGCGCAAGGTTTTTTTATATTATTTTTTGCGTTTGCCGGTGTGGCATTATTGCGTTTGCGGCGCCGTTGGGGGTAGAGTACGGCGGGTTCCCGCGTCGCTATGTATAGAACGCCCGGCGGCGGCGTGGGGATCGACGTTGAGCCGACGAGTTTATGACGGAAATCGGAATAGCGGAGCGGGTTCGGATGTCGATGGACTGAAACGCAAGGAAGGGTGGACCGCAGGCGGTTAGCGCTAGAGATACGGGCTAGCTTGCATACCTGAGGGAGGCCACGGTGGGTCCGAGGTGCCTGGCTGATGACGAGAGCGATGGACCAGCCGTCGAGAAACTCTGATACCGATTGAGCGCATTGCAATCGTAAATTTATGTTTATGTATGTATGTATCAACAGTCAAGCCCGTGGGGGCCGTTAATTGCGTTCGTTGTTCTGATGCTGGGGGGTTGTGTCTACTTATAGATTGTGGGAGTGGATGGAATCGATGGAAATGTTAATATGGAGAGAGATGGTCGTCAACGGAAACGTTAATCCTCGTGGATCGACCGCGATGCATCAGTCCGTCTCCGTTCGCGCACGATCGCGCGGAATAGGCGGTGGAACTGGGGCTATAACGAGAAGGAGGAGCGAGAATCGTTTTGAGTGAGAGAGATCGAGAGGGAAGATCCACGAGGGAGGGAGGGGAGGGGGGGTGGTTGACGTTGCAAAAGCGCGTGAAGGAGACGCGGGGGAAGGGCGCTGATAGGAAGTCGCGATAACGAGGAAAAACGTTTTCTTCGGATTTTGCGTTGGCTTCTTTCTCGTGTGTGGTACACGCCGTGTTCAGGGCTTTGTCGCTCGAGCCGGTTCCGGCCTCCGAGGCTCCGTGACGTCTGTACGGCAGGCAGCCACGCGATGGCGGTTCGGAGCCTAAGAGGGAACAAAGAGATGGAAAGAAGAAGAGGTCGACGCGGACGGAGCGGGCGCGTGGCTTGCCGGATGGATGTAACGAGCCGAGACGACACCGATGCGGCGGATCTTGCAACGGCGCGTTACACAGTAAGGGTCCCCCACGGCAATCTGTCTTTCCAAGTTCGAGTTTCTCTCTCTCCTTCTTTGGAGATGGGCTGGTCAAAGGAGGATAGCGGCTTGCCGTGTTCGGTACCATGTGCGGTGGCGGATGATGCGAATGCGTTTGCTGGCGGTGTGACGTTTGGATTTGCGTCCCGAGATCGCGCTGGTGCCGCCCAGATTCCATGGACGTCCGACGGTATGCTCGGGTTTATGGCAACGTATAATCCGTCGGTGGTCGCGGATCTCCGATACAAAGCTGCATATGTGTTGCCGGGGCCGTATGGCGGTATCGACAGAGGCGCGGACCGTCATCCCCTCCCCCCTCTCGCGAGAACGTGACGGTTTACGTCACTTTGTACCTCCCGGGTCGCTCGCGAGAGGAACGAAAGGAGTATGAGCGATCTCCCGTTATATTACGTAGGAGGCAGGGAGCATGGGATTGGCGGGAGAGGGTCGCGGAAGCTAGATTTTTTTATTATTGGAAGGTTTCTCGTTTTGTTCACTCTTCTACTTCTTCTACTTCTTCTTTACGGCAGCGAGCGAGGTGATTGGGTATGATTGGGTTTATCGCTGGCACGTGCACCGCTCGCGATGGAAAGAGGAAAGTGCCTTTCCTTTCTTTTTATTTTATTTTTTTGATATCGGGGGCAGGAGTGACTATCACTCTCGTAGGCGACCCGTTTCCGGGTGGAAGAAGACGCAGGCATGCGGGATCGCTCGCGCGTTTCGCTCGATGTCAGTGGCGGGGGGGTCCGGGGAACCGGCGGCAGCGAGTTCCAGTGCTCGCACAGCGCACACGTGCCGTCGTCGTAGGATCTGGCCCCAGGACGAATACATCGAGAGCAACGTCAGGTCTTGCACCTGGATTCATTATCGATCTGTGCGAAGAAAAACGGGCCCACGGCTCTCTACTTCTTTGCGGAGACAAGGGGGGTGACGGAGGGTGCGGCCCTGAAGGCTGGGGCCGGCGATTGGCCTCTTTGCATCGTGGCGCCCGTGTGGCTTTTTTCGAGAGAGGCGAAGAGGGGGGGATGGATAGCCAATCGTGTCGCGGGGCGAAGCCGGTTCTGGACGTGATCAGGTGCAGACGAACCAACGGTATCATTAGCCTTCCCGTTTCCGCCGTGGGTGGCGGGGGGGAGGCGGGGCAGACGTCTACATACTGGTTTTATGGGCATTTCCAGCTCTGCAGGTCTCGTCGTCCTCCCGGTGTTCTTGTGACACCGCGTGGCGAGGAGGGGTTCAGGGTCACCGGCTGTGCGCACCTATCAGGCCCATCAAGCGGCGGGTCAGCCAGAGGCGGATTGGGCGGATGTAGATCATGGGGGCATTCGACCAAAGCGGAGCGTGAACCGTGAAAATGCGTTTTAGAATAGAGCGAGGGTGTGGTTTCCGGATCGGGCAAGAGAGCGACGGAAGCAGAAGGTGTGCGAGTGGCGCCGCGCGACGCTTTGAGCTTGGTGCACCGCCCGCGCGGAATTATTTTGGGTGCCGTCGGCGGCAGGCCAGCGTGCAGCGGCTCCCCTCGCTCGATAGCGCGCGCCGTTGCGGGATCCCATAGTGCGACGGACGAGCGAGCGAGCGAGCGACGATAGAACACGTCCAGCAGAAACAAGACCCCCCCGCAAAGGAGAGCTCTCGCCGGGCGCGGCCGGGAGTCGAGGCGAGCCACGAAAGCCAAAGCGATTTGTTCGCGTTTTGCGCCCGTCTTGAGAAACGAAGCTGCCCGCGGCGAGGTCGAGTGTGGTTTAGGACGCCGAGTGCCCGACCGGCGTCGGCCGGGAGAGAGAGAGTGGCACACACACGCACCCCATCCGCGATCACGTCGGCGGATTGGTGCCAGCGGGCGGGCGGGCGGACGAGCCGGGCGACGGGCCCATCGTCTTTTCGTACTTAGCGTCCCTGCCGCGCTACCGACCCTGGTCCTCCGTCCCCCTTCCTCCTCCTCCCTCCGCCGCTGTCCCTCCCTCCCTCCCTCGTACCTACCTACCTCCTTCTTAATCTCGCCGTGCCATAGAGACCTCTCTACGCTACAGCCCGCTCAGCTCAGCACCGCCCGTTGGATCTACAGCTCGCCGACGAAGCCGACGTCCCCCGCCTGTTGATCTCGTCACCGCAGAGAAAACCTCGCGCGTGGTTCCAGCTAGCCCGTATCTCACCCGCCCGGCGCCGCCCATGAGTAATGTACGTTCCCGTCTCCCGCTCCCGCCCTACGCTCCCACCGCGCGCGCGCTCTCTATTACGATTACGCGCGCCCCCTGATCATTTTGATCCCGCCGATGGCTGACGATCTCCGTCGCCCCTCATGCAGTAACCGTCACCCGCCCTCCCGTCCTCAAAGCGTAGTTAAAACACCGCACCTAATCGTTCACGTTCGCTTTTCGTTCGCCCCCCGCCTAATCAAACCGTACAATAATGGACGCGCTCGGCCTCTACACCCCCGGCCCGGCTCCGCAGCACCTCCAGAACAACCCTATACACCCGTTCTCGCACCACCCGCAACACGGGCGCCCGTCGATCGCGTACGGTCTCTCGCCCGCGCCCTCGCCGCCCGGCAGCGCGCCGCCCTCGCCCCCGACGTACGCGTACGCCGCCGACGGCCAGATCATGTACCAACAGCCGCCGGCGTACCCCTCCTCGGACCCGTCGTCCTACCCGTACGCCCCGTCCGCGCCGTCCTACGCGCTGCAGACGACGACCGCCGGGCCCGCGCCGCACGAGGACGTCGACTACGGCATGCCGTCCTCGTCCTCGGCGCCGGCGTACGCCCACGCCCCTCAACCACCGCACGCGTCGCCCTCGTCGTCGACCTCGACGACGACCCCGACGGCGCCCCCGACGACGAGCGCGGGTGCGCTGGGCATGACGCAGCTCACGCGCCCGCTGACGGCGAAAGAGCAGGGCCTGCTCGCCCACCTCGACAAGCTCAAGTTCTTCCTCGCCACCGCGCCCTCGCACTGGGACAACCCCGCCGCCTCCTCCTCCTCCATCACCACGCCCGCCTCTTCTTCCTCTTCCTCCTCGTCGTCGTCGTCTCTCGTCCCAGGCTCGTCGTCCGGCCTCGGTCCAGGCTCGGGTAGTCAAGCGGGCCACCACCCCTCGCTGAACCGCTTCCTCCTCCCGAACCAAGAATCCGTCTCCTGCGTCCTCTGGTCCGGCCTGTACCACATCACCGGCACCGACATCGTCCGCGCCCTCGTCTTCCGCTTCGAGGCCTTTGGCCGCCCCGTCCGCAACATGAAAAAGTTTGAAGAGGGCGTCTTCTCCGACCTCCGCAACCTCAAGCCCGGCGTCGACGCCTGCCTCGAGGAGCCCAAGAGCCCGTTCCTCGACCTGCTGTTCAAGTACCAGTGCATCAGGACCCAGAAGAAGCAGAAGGTGTTTTACTGGTCCGTCCGATTCCAACCATCTAATTTATTTATTTTCCTTCCTGGAATTGACGGGGTGGCACACAGGTTCTCGGTCCCGCACGATCGGCTCTTCCTCGACGCGCTCGAGCGCGATCTCAAGCGCGAGCGGATGGGCCAGGAGCCGACGACCGCCGTCGTGGGCGAGCCCGCGCTCAGCTTCACCTACGACCCCAAGCGCCCGCTCTACGAGCAGTTCTCGGCCGCGCGCGATGGCGAGGGCGAGCTCGAGGCCGCCGTCCGCGTCGCCGACGAGGCCGCCATCACCACCACCTCTTCCTCTGCCTCGACCTCTGCCTCTACATCTATCTCTAGCTCTGGGATCGTCAACGGGTACAGGCGAACGAGCGGGACGACGGACGATGCGCCGCGGACGACGCCCGAGATGGACCACGAGCACTCGACGGACGAGAGTCTGTCGGCCGAGGAGGCGGCGAGGAAGCAGCAGCAGCGGCAGCGGAGACAGGGCGTGCCCGGAGGCTCGGGCGCCGCGTTCTTCAGCATGCTGTCCTTGTTCGAGGGCAGCCCGACGTACAAGCAGCGGAGGAAGAAGCAGCCCAAGTCGTCCTCGGCCCACGCCCACGCGTCGTCGTCCTCGGCCTCCGGCGCGAACCGCAAATTTGGCGCGCCGTTCACGACCGCCGCGCGCCCGTCGCGCGAGGGTGGTGGTGGAGGTGGAGGCGCGGAGGTGGATATGGGCGCGGGGTACGGCGCGCGGGACGGCGATCTGAGCGCGGCGGATATGTTTCTGGCGCAGGCGAGGGAGGAGTTTGGGCCGCGGAGTTGGAGGGAGCGCGAGAGCGAGAGGATGAGGATGAGGAGGAAGGCGCCGCCGCCGCCCGCGTTGACGGGCGTCGCTGCTGCGAACGTGCACGGCAGGGTCCCGCTGGCAGGACCGTCGTCCGCGCCCACGTCGTCGCTCGGTACGGGTTCTATCGCTTTTTAAAAAACGACCCGTCCGCTGACCGGGGGCTTGTTGACGCAGATATGCGGGATATGGCGGTGCCGACGCTCGTGTCCGGCCCGCTCTCGTCGTCCGCCGCCGGAGGGTTTCCGTCGTCGCCGTACTCGCCCGAACAGGCGCAGTACGCGCGCGCTCAACCGCAGGCGAGGCACACCTACGCCGCCGGCGCCGGGTACGACCACCCCCACCACCAGCACCAGCAGCAGCAGCCGGCCAGCGCGCACGCCGCGACCCTGCCCGCCTCTTTCGACGCCATCGACGGCCGCGCGTTCGCGTGCCCGCTTTACTCGTGCGGACGCACGTTCCGCCGCGCGGAGCACGCGCGGCGCCATATGCGCACGCATACGGCGGAGCGCCCGCACGGGTGTGCCCGCTGTGGCCGCCGGTTCGCGCGCGCGGATAATCTGGCGCAGCACGCGAGGACGCACGCGCGCGCGGATGCGGAGGGCGTCGCGCACGTCGACGACGGGGTGTATGCGCACGAGCCGGAGGACGCGCGTGCGGACGAGGCGGACGTTGATTCGGAGGACGAGATTTATGCGCAGCAACAGCAGCAGCAACAGCAACAGTACGCGACGTCCTTCGGCGTGCCGAGTCAGACGCAGGCGCAGGTCCAAGGTCAGGGGATGGTGTCCGACTGGGTGCAGACCGCCTTCCCCGGCGCGGCGGCGACGGCTGCCGCCGTCCCGCCCGCGGTCGCCCACCTCCGCCACGGCAGCGGCGCCTCGTCCTCCTCGCTCGGCTCCACCAGCTCGCCGCAGCTGCACTACCGGTACCTCTCGCCCGACTCGGGCTCGTCGCTCTCCGCGCCGTCGACCAAGGCCTCCTTCGACCACGCCGCGCTCTACCCGCTCGGCCAGCAGCAGCCGTCCGTCGCGGGCCCCGTGCGCCGCTTCCGGAGCGTGACGCCCAACTACGCCCGCGCGGGCGAGAGCATCCGCCGTCCGCTCACGGCGTCCATCCCGGACTACGCGGGTACGGCGGCGGCGGCGGCGGCGAGGGCGTACCACCCCTACGCCGCCGCGTACGAGTCGACGCATTCGAGCCCGGCGCACCATACCGTGCCGCTCGCGTACGCCGCCAGCCAGAGCCAGAGCCAGAGCCAGACCCACTCGCGCCGGAGCTCGGGCGACGTGCCGATGATGGGCCTTCAGCCGGACGCGGACCCGTACGCCGCCGCCGCGACGCAGTACGCGACGTACGCGACGGACTCGCCGGGGCAGTACCCCGCGTTCCACGATAGCCCGCCGAGCGACCACGAGGGCGCGATGCAGGACCAGGGGATGTACATGCTCGGACTTCCCGCCTCCCAGCAGCAGCAGCAGCAGCAGCAGCAGGTGCCCGTCGTGCCGACCACGAACTACTACGCGCTCGCTGGCCAAGTCGAGTCTGCGACCGCCGTCCGCCACGTCTCCATGTAAGACGCGCAGAAGGGCCGGGAAAGAGGACGAATCAAAATGACGCACGTTTTTTTTTCATGCAACGGCGGGGCCCACATCCACGTCGTCTTGCACCAAAAGTGTTTTTTCGTGTTTACAGTATTTGCACCAGGATTTCCACACCCCCCCTAATCGTCATCATCAGCTTCCCCCCGACTCGATCGTCTCCCGGTACTTTCCAAGTTCGACCTAATTCTTCGATCTCAGCAACGCCTCGACGGGACTGGCTTTCCCCCTTCTGTCTCCTGCCACGACCCAGTATAATACACCCGCACCTAATGCCCCCCATCGCCGGAACGATCGGTTCGCCCCACCATCGCCTCTAATCTTGCGTCGCCAGCGAGCAAGCTCGCCGCCACGCTTCCCCACCTTTCGCTTTCCATTCGTCGCGCGTCTGGACGCGGCACCCCCCCTCGGCACGGCCCACTCCCCAGATCGTCTGTTACATGTTCTCCTTTTACTTTATCGATAGCTTAGCATCTCCCACTTGATTGTCTCTCCACCCATAGTTGGCGGCACGCCCGCGCACCCTGTCTGTTTTCTTCTTTGTTGCTTTCCGGTCACACACACACATCCAACCATCGCTGTTCTTCTCCTCGAGACCTTTCGTTCGCGAAACCCGAATGTAGCTACAAAGCACACGCACACGCACCCATACGTTAGTCAATACTCGAATGTAGTAATTCCATTCCGATCAACGACGTCCCCGCCCCCGCCCTCTCCCTGCACTCTCCACCCTAAATGAACCTGCATCGCCAATGGGGATCATGAACATGCGATCCCAGCAAATTTCTATCGCTTCCCCCCTTCACACCCCCCTTATCTCTTCTCGGGCTGTGCGATATAGCCTCCGCCATTCATCCATCATCGGGTGGACAGGACAGTGTAGGGCCGCGATTCCTGCGATCTCGCCGGAGACGTGTATGAGAGAGAGAGAGAGGATTGGAGCTGTGCGTACACGCTAACTATGCCCATCTCGATGGCTGTAATAGATCCCAGGGCGCCGATCTGCGCCGATCGCCAGTCGGTGATTAGGCGAACCCGCCCCATCTCTTCCGGAGAGCACGGGACAGCCCCCCCCCCCCCCCCCCCCCCCCCCCCCCCCCCCC